TATATATATATACACACACGTGTAAAGTGGGTTTAGGCTTCGGAGGATTTGGGTCCTCCTCTGAACGAGTCCCTCTGTGCCCCTACGACAAGCACCTCTCAACGCAACCTGTTTTGCAAAATCCCCAAGGGCTCTGGATTTGCAGCACATAATGCGTTGCGAAAGCCGCCTGCCCTTTCAGCTTCTCGGCCGCGGCCGTCGCGCGACTGGCATTGCAGAGCATTGTGCGGGCAGGTCCCCAAATTAGGGTCCACTTCTGGGTCCGTGCAGAGTATGTGCCACTCTTTTGAGAAGGAAGCTTCCTAGATGGAACCCTGGTTTACAAAGCGATCCGCATCTTGCTGGTCGACATCTTTCGGGAGGCGGACCTGGATCGAACTGTCCGTGTTGAATAACAGCCCAGATCACGAGGATGCTGCAGCAACGATTTTGAATAGTAGGGCCGGCCTTGAATTGTTGAAGAACTTTAAGCAATAACGCTAGCGTCACTATTACAACACTGGTGCTTTTGCTCTTGCTGTTACTCATGCTCTCCATTGCCACTGCCGCTACCACAACCACCTGTTGCCGCTGCTCCTCTTGCCATTGCTACTACTCTTGATACAAAAATGTTGCATCGATTTCTGCACAGGGTTCTCTTTCCCCATGATCTCGACATTGAGCTCAGAACCACTGCAAAAAACAGGACGGCCGCGAATGACAAAACTCCTGCATGACGTCATGCCTTTGGGGAAGCACAGCACAGTTCGTTGCATGCGAGGGCGCTCTTGAGGCTTCCATGCAGGATGTTTTACCGAGCTCCGTAATATAGGGGCATTAGTAATTCGAATAGGGTTTGGGGGCTATACTATAATTATAATGAGGCACCCCACAATAGTATTGTAATTACTTACAATCCTGTATTAGCACCGCTTGTGCAGTCCCATTACCACAGGCCGGGAGAGCTCGCTGGACTCGCAGACCACGAGGCAGCAAGGCATGGGAGCTTCAGATTCCTCAGAGTCAATAGAGGGCTGTTATAGAGGGTTGGCATTGAAAGGTAGGGGGTTGGTGCGTTTTCTATGTTTTGGCTTTTGTCGTTGTTACAGGGGTGTCGAGGAAGGTAGCGGGCTGCAGGGCTTTCCACCGTTTTATACTGGTATTCGGCAAAATAGGGTTTCATAGGTTTCCCTTCGCTATCTCTATTTACAGCTGCCTTTTAGGCTCCTCTATGAAGGAATTGATGCCGCAGGCTCTCTAAGAGAGTTTGGGGCTCTAGGGTGTAGGGTTCTAGGGTTTATGTAGAGTGTAGGGCTCTAGAGCTTACAATTATGACTTTAAGTTCTATTCCGAAAACCAGGGCTTTGGAACCTCGCTGCGTTGGAACCGGTGAGTTGCCATACAAGGAAATAGAATACGGGAAAGCTTCGGGGTGTAATTTTTTTTGCAAAGGAGTGAAGAGGGTATGTTACAACTGACCTCAGAGCTCTGTAGTAACCTGGTCAAAGAGGAACAAGGGTTCGCGTTAAGTCTTCACGGTCCTGGGGTCTGCTATGTGCCCAGAAGGATCATTCGTATAAACCTGAAGCACCCTTCATCAAATGGAACGGAATGTAGCAACCGTTGAAGAGATGGAAGTCGAAAAGCCAGAACACAGCAGGAAAGCTTCCTGGAGTAGATCATTCCCACTTACATGCATGGACGCGCTTCGACCCGACGCGGCCAAACCAAGCTGCGACCAGAAGGCGACAGATTGCCACACGGGACTATAAAACAGAGGGGCCTTAATGATCCGGCTCAGGTCTTGGCGGGGTTATATCACCAATTCACTCTTCGTTCCCCTATTTGGGCTACTGCTAGACTCATCTCCTCGAAGCAAAACGATAGCAATTCAGCCAGAGGCTGCAGGGCTTATGGTTTCGGGGTGCACGTTCCCATACCGTCACGAAGCCCCAAAACCCTAAAAGTCCCTCCAACGGGGCATCCCAGGACGGGCCTCAGTCTTGGCCGGCTTCTCGGCCGGAGGTTCCAGGATTCCATCTGAGAACATCTTCCGCCTTGGAGCGCTCTTCTGCTCTCGGTAAATCGATGCCTCCTTTGACAATGCCTTATTGCACTCAGGACCTAAACAATCGTTCTGATTCACGGAATTCTTGCGCTTGTGTCGCCAAGAGCACAGCCTTGGGCGGAAAGGAGTGACCCCTTTGTGCAGCAGACCAAGCTTGTGCATAGGATAGCTCTCCATGTCTGTTGCCATACGGGGCTCGGGGCTTTGCATGTGTCGTCGAAGTATTGAGTGCACTCAACCTCGGATGTACGTCAAGGTGCCCAAGGAGCCTTTTGGCCTTGACTCGCAAGATAAGCTTTGCTGCAGAAATTTGCGTAGCATTGGCTGGCCATAGCTTTTGGCAGCCCCACGACTCCTCGCCCTCACTCTTTCGAACCCGAAACTTGCCACTGCTACTGCTACTGCTGCTCCT